GTAATAGCATTTTTTCAGTATATTTCGTTTGCTATTTGTTAAACGCAGTTTAGCAAATAACATTGTACAAATATTGATTACAAATAAAGGATTACGCATAATTCGTGCATAAATGCAAATAAGGGATAAGGCGCGTAATTCAGTGTTTGCCAAGCATTGCTTAGCAAGTGACAAAGATAATATCAAAATGGAATACAAATAATCGATTTCACGAAAAATTCATCAATCATAATGATGATCGCTGGATAGAAATGTGCTAGAATAAATGCAAATTATTTTTTGATAAAATACATAATTGATATTAATATCTTTTTATGGAATAAATATACAAAAATTTATAAATATTCTATTAAATTATAAATATTCTATAATTACAAATACAAAAGTATTTGCCACTACTCATCATTGAAACGATATATTTCTGCTATACAGAATTATATTAAAGAACATATTTGAAGGTTTTGTGGTCGTATGTTATTTGAAATCGATAGATTGCGGCTTTTGTAACGGAAAGTGCCGTGATTTTAGAACGGATGGCGAAACGATGTCAAAAAGTGGGTGTTTCGCAACAATTCGCAAGGACAAAGCGCTACCCTTCGGCAGAGTCGCGGCTATTATTATTATCTTCCCCGATTGTGACACTTTGTTTTTTTTTTATCAATATCTGATATAACGAGCAATCCCATCTCATGTAGAGTATGTCGCTCGAGTATAGCTCTTGAATTGAATGAGCATTCGAGAAACGAGTATCCGTCCTCGCTCTTATACTCTTTCTTCTCTACAAACCAGAGGAAAGGAATGAAAAAAGGTCGATCTGTTGTTCATCCTTCCATATAGATAGATAAGCGAACGCGTGAATAAGGGTGTCACAACGAAACAGTGTCGACTCACCTCTTCGGCAAATTCGAAATCTCCGTCGAATTTCCTTTTGCATTTCACCTTCGTAGCCAGGACCAATAGTACCGTGGCCGCGAGCATCCACGAGAATCGCATGGCTGTCCCACCGTAGGGTCTCGTCAAATCTCTCCTTATTCTCGGAACGTCACTTAGTTCACTACGGAAGACGCGCGCGCGCGCGGCGCGAGAGATAGGAAGAATGGCACACACGAATACACCGTTAAATGTTAACGAAAGAAAAAAATATTCGGGGCGGTTGATGCGGGCGCAACGCAACCGATAACCGACGTCCGGCGTATGCGACTCCGACTTGCCCTATACGTGTGTGTGTGTGTGTGTGTGTGTGTGTGTTTATATATATATATATAAAATATAAAAATGTATACACATGTGCATATATACGTATATGTTACATATATACGCGCGACGCGAAACGGAAACGCGCAGCTCGATAGCCGAACGAGTTGTGCTGTCACCGCTCGAGACGAGGCGACACCATCACTGCCGTTGGCTACGCCACCAGAGGCGCCCGCGTGTTACGCCCGCTCATTGGTCCGATTCCGACGAATTGTATGTTTGGAGTGATACGTTGGCGCGGAAAGGAAGACTAGCTCCGCACGCTACTTGCTCGGCTGCTCTCGCCGCTTATCGTGCTTCATGGCACCTGTTCAGTTGCCTTCGGCATAGGTGCGCTGTTGTCAGTCAATACTTTTAGAGACACTACAATCAGAGCTAATCACGAAAAAGGCACTTTTGGTCCGCCATCTTTTGGCACTTATTTTCAAAAACATCAACTAATTAATTTTAAATTGTAATATTATAATTTAAAAACATAAGCGTTTTGAGGTAATAAAATGTGTATATTTATAAAATATTATTTATTTTTACATAATTATATTACCAATTTATTAATATATTTATCGTATTTATTAATATATTTTCTTTAATTTTAACGATTTTAAATTTATTACTATTTATATAATATAATATATAAGAGCAAAAATTAATATAATACTATTATACTACTGTTACACTATAATATTTTTAACTTTTTGATACACAAATGTCAAAACGATCCTGTGTGAAATCAATACAATGACAGCTATTCACAAAGTTAGCGCAGTGAGAGAACCCATAGCAGAAAAGCGTCAATAATAAACTTCAAAAAAATTTCGAAAGATGCAAGTATCGATGTCATGCCTTTTTTTAGAAAGGATTATTATGCACAATACACTTGAATCAATGCACATGCAAATTAAAAAATATCGCTATCAAAACACGTTATTGATTAGAGTGAAATGATGTATATTTCTTTCTCTCTCGTAGGATTTAGCCAAAACATGGCGGATCAGAGTCGTGGCCAGTCTCTGATTGTAGTGTCTCTGAATACTTTCAGCTGCCTACCTATCTATCTGCTATAACCCGTGGTTTTAAGGGAGAAAAAGGAAGAAAAGAATTGCGGGGGAAGTCCCTCTCGGGCTATGAGTAGTTCAGATGTCTTTTGTCCCCATAGCAGAAAAGCGTCAACAATAAACTTCGAGAAAATTTCGAAAGATGCAAGTATCGATGTCATGCCTTTTTTTTAGAAAGAATTATTATACATATTTATTATTATTATAACAAATTTTATTACAATATAAAATAAAATTTAAATAAGACATATAACACATAAATTTTTTGTATTGCGTCATCACACTTTTTCTTCGATTTTTGTTCATATTTGTCGCGTTCATATTGTTCTCTCAAATTATATTTTTCGAATTGAATCGCGGCCTGTATTAGCGCCGTATGGCAGCTTCGGCGGAAAAATAAGGAATAAAAGATTGCGGGGAATTTATCAGAGGGGCATCAGAAAAAAATTCAGTCCTATTTTCTCGATTCTTTCCAGACCATTCAGCCTGATCGACCAATTCTTCTTTTTTTTCTTCGTTCTCCTTCATTTCCTTTGTTACGATTCCCATTGCCATCATTCTTTCCTCTTGATTTACTTTACTAAATCAT